TTTTTGCTACTTGTTTGCATTGCTGCAAACGTTAACTATGGACTCTGAATCTGTTGAAAAATGCAATTTTTCAAACTTTAGTTACCATGGTAACCATGACATGTAGCAACCAATTTTTGCCTTATTTCAGTTTACGTTATTAAAGACTTTCATCCTGAAGAGTTTAAGAGAAATTCTATGACTGAGTGCCACAGCTCCTATATAAAATTTTAAGTCATTGCAGGAAATGGCTCTTAATATATTTGACATTCTTGACCTTGACCTACTTTTGCATACCTTTATCAATTTTAAACCTGACAATTACTTTTGTACAGTTAGTGCTAGGGCTTTCATTCTTCACAGTGAAATCAATGTGACCATGAGTTTTAATATTTTTGACCTGACCACAGAGTTTAACCCACTTTTAAAAAACTTTATCCTTGGCCTTAACTTTTGAACAATTACATGTAGTACTAGGACTTTCATATTTTACAGGTGTGTTCCTTGTGACAAGACCCTACTTTTGGACACCAAAAAAATTGAGCTTGTAGTTTGACCTATTTTTCAAAAAAAAAAAAAAAACAAAACAAAACAAAAAAACTTTAACCTTGGCCATTAGTTTTAAACATTTGGTGTTAGGGCTTTTATATTTCAAAAATATATTTCTTGTTACAAGTCTGGGTATCATTGATTTTGACCCTTTGACCTTGGAGTTTGACCCACTTTTCAAAAACTTTAACCTTGGTCATTACATTTGAAGGTATTTTCATTGATACAAGTCCTTTCTTTGGAAAACATTTTTGATCTCTTGACATTGACCTTGGAGTTAACTTGCATTTGAGAAACTTTAACCTTTGACATAGGCTGCCATCTGGGGGCATTAGTGTTTCACAAACACTTCTTGTTCTTTCAAAGACTAATCACATATTCAAGAATCACAAACAACTACATTTTTCTGTTTACAAAACTTTGGTGATAAAATGCTTTAACAAAATGAACCAAACCGAAATAAAACAGAGTATGTTTCAACTGCCAGCTAGCACATTTACTAGGGGACATAAAATGATATAAATCCTTTTAACTTGTTATGATTCCAATCAGATCATGAGGATATTAAATGAAGTTAGCAAAAAGATACAAAATCACAATATTTTAATTGACTACCATGTAAAACTTTGCTTTCCTATTGCCCCCCTCCCCCAATTTGAAGAAATTTGAATCTAATATATGTCAGGAAACTTTCCAGTAGGTCTCATTTTTAACAGTCCAGAGGTTCTTGAGTTAATTTTGAATGACCCCACTGACTTCTGTTATTTCTTAATTTTCTCCTTTTGAAGAGGTTCTGGCCCTTCCACTGAAAACTTAAACCCTTTCATCCAATGATGTTTCAAGGCAGGTCTGGTCTTTGGCACATTATTTCTGGTATTATTTGATGCCCTGATCTTGTCCTTTACTCATCTCCTGTGGGCAAACTCACCAAAATATCCAGGTATGTAATTATTATGCACAGATCATTTGATTCGTTGCTGCATGTCAACGAATTACAGCTTATAATACATATGTATGTTTGGAAATGAGTAAAGCTTTCCCATAATCGACACACTGACTGCAAACAAAACCACTCAGTGGTGCATTTCACAGTTTAAGAAAGGTACTACAGTGAAAACTTGTCTAATCCAGATGTTGTGAATTCCAAAATCTTGCCTAATACGATCTAAACTTGAAGTCCCTTTCACAAAATTTCATTTATAATTTTATCTAATCCGGAATGTTGTCTAATCTGGCCAATTTTTCTGGAACCAGTTGTCCTGATAAGACATGTTTAACATACTCCATTATTCCTGACTGCTACTTGATGCCACTGACCTGTAGAACTTGAGTTTTATTGTTGTAAAACAAAATTTGCATGATTTCTAGTGTGTCATTTTTAGCATAAATACCAAAGATAAGAAACTTTTTTTTCAAAATTAGAGAATGGATTTTTTTATTAGTTGTTTATAATCAACAAATTCGCATATTTAATGATGATATTTCAGTGAGGTGGCCCACAGGATGAGTAAAACATTGATCATCTCAGGGTATACGATGATGTGGTTCTGAAAAAGAAAATGAAATGAAAAAAAAGTTTACATAAAACACAAAGAAAGATGCCAGACACTCTTTGATCAGATAAGCTAACTTGAGTCTGGGGCTCAGATGAGCTTAAAAATTAAAAAAAAAAAAAAAATTATGATGGAATGGAAACAATAAAATGGATTACACTATATTTACCAACTATTTCATGGTGGGGACATAGAAAAAATGTTCATGTAATAGTTGATAGGAACATTACCTATTGTAGAATAAATATCTGCAAAGACCAAACCTTTTGGCAAAAAATAAATCAAAACAATTTGTTAAACTGTTTCTTCCAGATCTAGAACAACCTTAGAAAATAGTAAAAATACAGGAATAAATACTCATATATAAAACTTAATTTATAATTCCTTGATTATTCTTTCTTTTATTGTTACATGATAAAACAATTATATCCTATATGTTTTGAAGTAAATAAATAATATTTTTGTTCTTTACAAAAAATAAAAAGTACAAGCAAATACAATTCATAGATTATAACATAAATTTTCATGAAAATTATACAAGCACAACAATTAAAATATTTCATAAAAAATGAAAAGTTTCAGTTAAAAATTGAAAACAATAAGGATATTCCATTAAAATGACCTCAAAGAGAATACATCAAGAAAATGACTTTTTTTCTTTTTAAATCTTAAATTGTGTGATATTCAATTGATATTTGAATTTGGACAAAAATCAAAACTGGAATGTACTTTTGAATGCAGCACTTATGAGACAACCATAGAGGCAAGCTAGTACTATATGACAGCTGCTTGATCCATGGTTCTGAGTTAAATTGATTTTGTAATATATATATATATATATATATATATATATATATATATATATATATATATATATATATATACACACACACATGTATATGCTTTCAAAGCAGAAGGGTTTATTCTTTTTTAATAACAAGTCAAACTTCAAAGTTTTAAGAAAAGGTTGTACTAAAGATAATTTTAAGAATAATTCATGTGCATTCTATTCCTGTAAAACTCTTTCCTTTTCTAAAATAACATTAAAACTTTTGATATCAAATCAACAAATATTCTCTGGTATAAATATACAAGAGACTCATGGGTCTTAATGGTCACCTGAATAAAATACAACATTGTCAAGGATCCAAAGAAGTATGAAATAAAACAAAAATAGAAGTGTTTGTTTGCTAAATACCCAGAAGTAAAGAAAAATTTGAAAGAAATAACGCATTTTCACTATATAATCAACTAAACCCTACTCTAACACCAAAAAACCCTCTAACCTAGGGGTTATGAATTTCACAAATTTGAAAGAGGCAATCCTTGCTCATCACAACCATATACATGTAATTAGTTTGCCAGCTAAGAAGTAAGGGGCTAAGAAACAAATTTTAAAAGAATTTATATGTATTTTTACTTTCTACTAGTCCCTCCCTAAAACAAGAACACTTGACCTAAGAGCCATGGAATTCATAATTTTGAAGAATTATCTTTGCTCATCATTACCATTTGTTTGCTTGCCTAACAACTAAGGGAAAAAAAGAAAATTTTTGAAGAATTTATGCATTATTAGCTGTATGTTCATGAAAGCCCCTTCCTCTCTTACACCAGTTCCATTGACACAGGGGCCATGAATTTCACAAATTTGTTGGAAGTTCTCTTGTTCAACATAATCATGAACTCAATCTGTTAAATTTTTTTTGAGAAAAAAGATTTTCAAAGAAATGATATAGTTTTACCCTATTTTATTGAGCTCCACCTTAACATCAGAATCCCTGACCCAGGGACCATTAATTTTACAATTTTTGTAAAGGACTCATTGATTGCCTAATGTCTAGGAGTAAAGAAGATTTTGGTTTTGTTTCACCCTCAGGCCCTAAAAGGGGGCATGGAATTCACAATTTTGGTTTCCCCTCATCCTTAAATGCTTTATACCAAAATTGGTTAGAATTGTTAAAGCTGTTCATAAAAAGAAGGAGATGTTCAAAAGTTTACAACTGATGCATGTTGGAGAACACAGGTCAGAGCGCAAACAGCAATGTCACTTAAGTGACTCTGATTATCTCATAAAACTCTTTTGTCCTTTGAAAAGGTTACTTCTGTTCGAAATAAATGTCAACATGTTATATAGTATCCTGGTACATGTATCTGTGTTTAACCTCATGTGAATAATAAACAAGAATGCAATATGGTATTCTTAATCATATACTGAAATATTTTCTTTTCCATAGCCATTTATTACACCCTGATCGAAATTTTACTGTTTTTGAATTGCCAGCTCCTTTGTGCAGTCATATATTCTATAAAGATATTGAATATGCTCAGCAAAATTATTCATGGATGACCCGTTTCATTTTCCAAACTTGTGTTAGTTAATACATGTATGTAATCAAAATAACTTTGAAACAATTAGTAGACTACACACAAATATTTTTTGTGGTATCAAATGCAACATGGAAGTCTTCTTTGACCATTAAAATAACTTCCCAAAACATTGAATTAACTTTTTTAGGCAACAGCAAGTCAACTAGTTAAAAATGGAACACCATATAAAAATGAGATTTTGGTGTCTGCAGTACAGCATTTTCAGGGGCACTTATAGTCTTCAAATTCAAAATAAACTATTCCATATTCAAATTGAAGTGTTTTAGGTCAATCAGATGTTTTTAAATTGTGTCTAGTACAATATATATTTTTTTCTTCTTTTAGTTTTCTTTTCCCCAGACATCTTCTCAGTCTTCTTTATTGCCCTTTTAGAATACAGTACATATATAATATAGATGAATGTACAATTATTTTTCAAAGACGCCTATCCTTTATTTACTGAAAGAATGTCTTTCAAGGTTAAAAAAGATTTTCAAAAAATAAATGACATGAGTAACAATGAAAAAAAGTGTATAATGAATGTACAATTATTTTTCAAAGAAGCCTGTCCTTTATTTACTGAAAGAATGTCTTTCAAGGTTAAAAAAGATTTTCAAAAAATAAATGACATGAGTAACAATGAAAAAAAGTGTATAATGGTGTTATACAGGTTTAACCAAATACAGAAATGAGAATGTCTTGAGTTTATTTGTGCACAATTAAACTTTTATGCAGCTGGATGTTTCAAAAGTGGATTTTCTTCTTTATTCAGACAGTAAAATTTTTCAATAGTCACATCCCTTATAGCGACATCTTTATTCAAAAGACTCTATTCTGTCAAGACTTCTGAAAAAAAAGAAAAAATTAATTATAAGAAACATTATAATCAAAGGTATTCTTCATTGCTCAATCTAATAATGGACTTTTCTTTAAGTCTGCCAATATACTTATTGCAAAACCAAGGATTATGATGGTCTTTCAGACAGAGTCAATATCTCTTATATTTAAGAACAATCTGTTAAAGAAACTATCAAATGGATTTATTTTACAATTATCACAAACTCTTCATGCTGACTAAACTCATATAACACTTAAACTGTCATGCATTAGGTAGCCGCATACATTGCAATTTGATTCTTCTTTTTCCAATAGTGGTCCTTCGTTAGATTATTCAATAAAAAATAAAACCAAAATAAGAATGATGACACATTTTTTCAGATCATTTGTTTTTAGTTGTTCATGCTTGTTACAAAAAGGATTTTTTCTACAACAGAATACTGAGGTATCTGCTACTAATAACAAACAAATGAAGCAAACGAACCCATTCTTAATACTATATGTCATGTAATGAATGCCTTGTAAAACAAGAGAGCCATATCGCACCCTACAAGAGATCATGATTCGAATACACTACCAGAGGATGCTTCAAAATAAATATGACTTATCATGGCTTTGCTGTTCTTGAGACAGTTTTTTGAAGATTTTTCCTATGTACAACTTTGACTATTGTAGCCCCTCCTTTACCTCAAGGAATCAGGAGTTGAACAAATTTGAATCTACACTATTGAGGATGCTTTCATATACATGTTAATATGACCAATCATGTCTTTGCTATTTTTGGGCAAAAGATTTTTAAATATTTTTCCTAGTATGTATACCTACATGTATACCTACATGTATGTAAATCTCTGATCATCCATTGTGGCTCCTCCCTAGCCCCAGGAGGTCATGATTTGAACAAACTTATCATTACTTTGCTGTTCCTTGCAAAAAGATTTTAAAGATTTTTTTATTTTGTTTTCCTATGAAATACTTTGATTATTGGGGGGGGGGGGGGGGGGGGGGGGTTAAATATTACTGATCATGGCTTTGCTGTTCTTAAGAAGATTTTTCTTTTAAGTACCCATAAAAACTTTTGTTTGCCCATAGTGGCTCAACCATACCCCAGGGCATCATGATTTGAATCTTGAATCTACACTACCTGAGGATACTTTCATATAAAATGATTAAGTATAGCTTTGCTGTTCTTAAGAAGAAAACTACTAAAGATTTCCCCTACATAACCCTTGTAAAACTTTGTTTGCCCATAGTGGCCCAACCCTACCCCTGGGGGGGGGGGGGGGGGGGGTCATAATTTGAACAAACTTGAATCTATACTACCTGAGGATGCTTTCATATAAAAATGACTAAGCATGGCTTTGCTGTTCTTCAGATTGATTGTTTTTATGTTGTTTTACGTCCCATTCAAGAATTTTTCACCCATATAGAGATGTCACCATATACCGGTGAAGGGCTTCAAATTTAAACCTTTAATCTGCACTCAGGGCCATTGAGCAGTGAAGGTTCTTTATCATGCCAACGCCTACCCTGACATGGGGCCTTTGCTTTTAAGGTCTCATCCGAAGGACCCACAACTTTCCCTTTAAATTGCCTAGTGCTTGGCGAAGGAACAGTTGCTACCTATTTTTTATCAACTTAGGTCAGTCTCGTCCTTGATTGGAACACACAACCTTCTGATCACTGAGGGAGCACTCTACCGACTGAGCTACCGTGATGGTCTGTTCTTAAGAAGATTACTAATGATTTCTTCTATATATACTTAAGTAAAATTTTGATCACCCAGAGTGGCCACACCCTAACCTGGGGGGGGGGGGGTCATGATTTGAACAAATTTAAATCTACACCTTGTCAAGAAGCTTTCATGTAAGTTTCATCTTTTCTGGCCCAGTGGTTCTCGAGAAGAACAGTTTTATATGACCCACCCAAATTTTACTACTTCTTCATTACCTCCCCTTGGAAGAGCGTGTGGCCCTTCTTTTGAACAAACTTGAATCCCCTTTACTCAAGGATACTCTGTGCCAAGTCTCGTTGAAATTGGCATTGTGGTTCTGGAGGTGAAATAGTGAAAAGTTAAATTTCTCTAGATTTCTATTAAAAATTTCGTGCATAAAATATTGTACAATGTCAGAAACTATGTGAAAAAATAAGTTTACAATTTGTGCTTAATTTTTAAACTCTAAATCACTGCTGACAGTAAATGAGTACTTTTGGAAACCTTAAAAATTGATAAACTTAAAAAACTAGCTCTCTCACATAAGTAACTTCCAGAATGAGTTATCATTTTTACATCAAACCCTAGCAGCAGTTCAAAGGCGTACTTCACGCTCAATAAGTCTGGCTTCCCATGTCATCTCAATGATACTAAAATATCTGCCCATATTCTGAAATAGGTGGTATGAATCTGCCTTTCACAAATAAATATGTTTTTTCTGGGGGGCAAAATCTATCCAAATTGCCATTTAGGAGTTTTATTCTCTTCTGACCTATTTACTCATCTGGGAAATGTAGGTCAGATCCAGCATTTGAGGCATGTTTCATTGAGTGCATCCAAACATCATTAACGCAAGTTTAGTCACATTAAGGCTTAAACATGTAGTTACTTGGTAATGGACCTGCTCAAAAAACTTTTAACCTGGTCTCTCATAAGGAAAATGAAGGTAAAATTTAGTATCAAAAGTGTGCATCTCTAATTGCAAATTTGGTCCAGCTAGGGCTTATAGTTTCTTGGGAATGAGACCTACTTCAAAGACATTAACCTTTTCCAAAAACTTAAACCTGCTCTAAAATCATGAACCTGGTCATTCTTATGAAGAATGAAGTATCTAAAACCTGACTGGTACAATAAAGCATACTAGATACATCATCCATGCAACTATGATCAATGTTGGAATTAGAAATGCTTTGAAAGAAAACCACTTCAAAAACTTTAAAACCTGGGACGCTGACTCCAATGCTGACACCAACACCTAGGGTATTATATAAGCTCCCCCAACTCTGTTGAGGTGAGCTAAAACCAAATAAAAAACAAAAAAAGGAAATTAAAATCTCAAATTTAATACATATGTGCAACTATTGCAATGATTTTCTGTAGTTCTCATATTTGTTAAGGCTTTTCTGCCTTTACAAAACACTCTAGGAAAATAAAAATCTTTGGTATTTTTTAAGGATGGCAAATGAATACAAAATTGCCAATCAGTTAACTGCAAGAAGTTCTGACTAATTAATCGGTTAACTGTATCTCGACATATTTCAGCATTGTGAGCTCTACTCAATTAAACAAGAACTATAAATATGTTACATGTAGAAATATTACGTTTATATTTGATCAAAACACTAAATATATTTTTTTTCAATTAGACAAAAAACAAAAGGCCCAAGGGCCTTGAATTGCTCTTCTGATAAACTGTACAACCTATCACGTCTATTTGAAGCCTCTAAGTATCCTGTATATTTAGATAAAGCCTTGAAATTCCAAACGTAGGTCATCATGACCTACATTTTAGATGAAACACTCTGAGAACCCAAGATGATTCAAAGCCAACTAGTACCTGAAAGTAGGTCATGGTGACCTACTTATCACTTGTCATTCTCTGAGGACCCAAGATGCATCAACTAAGTTTGATGATTCTAAGCCAATTAATACCTAAAATATTTTAAAATTATCATCATAAAATTTCGTAAGTAGGTCACAGTGACTTACTTTTCAGATGACATACTTTGAGGACCCAAGATGAATCAACTGACAAAGTTTGATGATTCTAAGCCAATAAGTACCTGATATTTTTAAATAAAGCCATAAAATTTCAAAAATATGTCACAGTGACCTCTTTTTCAGTCGGCTAACTCTGCAGACCCAAGATGCATCAACTGACAGTTTGATGATTCTAAGCCAATCAGTACCTAAATATTTAATTATAGTCATATAAATTGAAAAGTAGGTCACGGTGACCTACTTTTCAGTCGACCTACTCCGAGGACCCAAGATGCATCAACTGACAAAGTTTGATGATTCTAAGTCAATTAGTACCTGAAATCTTTAATTAAAGCCATAAATTTTCAAAAGTAGGTCAAGGTGACCTACTTTTCAGTCGACTTACACCGAAGACCCAAGATGCATCAACTGACAAAGTTTGATGATTCTAAGCCAATTAGTACCAGAAATATCTAATTATAGTCATGTAAATTGAAAAGTAGGTCACAGTGACCTACTTTTCAGTTGACGTTTTTGGAGGACCCAAGATGCATCAACTTACAAAGTTTTATGATCATAGACCTTAACATGTCCAAATTATGCCTCTAAAATGCTTTGAAATTGAATGCCTGCAAAGTTCAAAAAGTAGGTCACTGTGACCTCTTTTTTAATAAATATGTTTTATGGCCCCAAGATGCATCATCTTACAAGATTTAATGATTCTAAACCTCTCAGTATTTGAATTAATGACCTAAATTGTTTTGAAAAAAATTAGCCATAAAATTCAAAAAGAAGGTTTAGATGACCTACTTTTTTAGTTGACGTACTCTGAGGACCCAAGATACATCAACTGACAAAGTTTGATGATCATAGGCCTAAATTGTTCAACATATGCCTCCAAATCATTTTGAAAAAGAATGGCTGCAAAATTTAAAAAGTAGGTCACCGTGACCTACTTTTGAGTCAACATGATATGAAGATTATAGATGCATCAACTGACAAGATTTGATGATCCTAGTCCTTATAGTGAGCAAAATATCAACATTTTAATAAAATGTAATTTTTGGTCAACTTAAAGTGACCTTGAGACCACACCCTTTGCCCCAGGGTAAATCCCCATGCAAATTTTAATCTACAACATATCCTAAACCTTTTGTGTAAGTTTGGTGATAATTTGCACAGTGGTTCTTAAGAAGAAGATTTTTTTTTAGCAACCAGTACTTTTGGTTTTATTTATCTAATAATTATCTCCCCTTGTTTAAGGTCACAACCCTAGTTTAGTATAAACGGGAGCCCTTGGGCCAAGGATAATCTGTGACAAATTTGACAATAATTGGCCAAGGAGTTCTTGAGTTATGGCCCATATTCTAAAAAGTTTGTGCACACTGCACAAATGGCCATAGCTTTAGCTCTTTGAGCCTTTGGCTCAGAAAAGCTAAATATATCAGAAGATATGTAATACAAGTTCATTCTGCATTGTCACTATTATCAAAACTAAGTCTGAACTATCGCTTAATTTACAATGTTTGTTTAATAATATAATTTGATAGGTAACTGCAAAGGATAGAGTACTCAACGGTCATTTAATAAAATTCATTAAATAAAGAAACACAGGACAGGCTGGGTAACATTAAAGCCTCTAGAGCATTTATTATCTCCATATCAGTTTAAACAGATAGGTGAAAATGCTAACAATTAAGAAATTTTTATTTGAATTTTTTTTAAATTGAATTTCAGGAAATTGTGCTCAAAATTATGCATGTAATAATTTTTGTCTGACTGATTACAGATTTTCTAAACCCATTAGCATCACTCCAACTGAGTAATCAGTTAACCAATAACAAACAGAAATCCATTGTATTTTTTCTTACCTCATTAGTTTCCCATCCTTCATTTTCCCCAGCCAGCTGGTAATGCCTCTTTCTCACTTGACCTAGTTTATATCTTTCAGTCTCCAGATCCTTTTCAAGCTCCAGAACTCGTACCTAAAATTAGGAAAAAGTGATCAGAGCTTTATCATATAAAGCATAGGGTGAGGGTTGTAAGGAAAAGAAGGATGACCAAAAATGGCATTGAGGGCAAACAAGAAAAAGAAAAGGTAAAGAACTTGATAGAATAAAGTAATTAGATATTTGTTAATCAAATCAGAAATGATGTCTTATTTGTACTGCCATATTTGTTTTTGTTTGTTGATTACTTCCAGTCAGCAAGTGCCCTCAAAGCCCCTGGGGCAAGCCTTAGTCCTAATTTTAGTTTCTAGGGTTACAAAAGAGCCCCTAGAAAAAAAAGATGCACTGTCCAATCTTATCTTGTTTGCATTCCTTTGTGCCTATTAGATTTAGTATAAACAGCAGTTTACAATTTTAGACAGTAAGATTTCAATATTCTTCAATCATTAAGAAAGACTTCCCACTTAAGGACAGATGATACTAACAAACAAGAGGCCCATGGGCCACAATGCTCACCTGAGTCAATAAGTATTCTTCATCAGCAGATTTTTTTCTATTATACATTCCTATGTAAAACTTTAATCCCTACTGTGACCCCACCCTATCCCCAGGTGTCATGATTTTTACAGATGTAGACCCACCCTACCTCTCAGGGTCATCATTTGAACAAACTTGACTCTACACTACCTCAATATACTTCCATATCAATGTGTCTAAACATGGCTTGGCTGTTCTTGGGAAAAAAGTTTGAATTTTTTCCTATACATCCATATGTTAAACTCTGAAAGTGCATTGTGGCCCACCCTACCCCAGGGGGTCATGATTTGAACAACATTGAATCCATACTGAGGATGATTCCATATCAATATGACTAAAAATGCTCAGCTTAATGACACTTTTAATTCATATAGACCGTCTCAAGATACGCACAATAATATAAGAATACACAAATACAAAGTACACCAACTGCAGATGGCAGCTTGTTTTTTCAAACTGGTTCCCTGTTGATTGGTGCTATCGAACAGGTACCAGTTTAATTAACCAGAAGTGAGTATTGTCAACTCGTACATAAAATTTCAGGGTTTGAAGGTAGGAAAAATGTGATATTTTAAGAAATATTTCACTGATTAAGTTGAAAATGAATAGGGTTTGTCATTTTACAATGCAACATAAGTACATGGAGGCTGAGAATTGATAGTGCAAAGGTTCTCTTTAAACTTGCTCACAAGCTATAACGGACCCATTAACACACACACAAACACACACACATACGCACAGTAGCAATGCTATATCCCCTCTACAACTAGTTGTGCAAGGGGATAATAATGACTTTGCTGTTCTTGAAAAGAAGAGGTTTGAAGATTTTTTCCTACATATTCCTATGTAAAACTTTGATCCCTGATTGTCACCCCACCCTATCCCAGGGGGTCATGATCTGAACAAATGTAAAACTACACATTGAAAAGGTTTCTTATACGTGTCAACTTTTTTGGCCCAGTAGTTCTTGAGAAGAAGATTTTTAAAAGATACTTCCAAATTTTCACTAAAACTTAATTATCTCCCCTTGAAAGAAGGCATTGCCCTTCTTTTGAACAAACTTGAATCCCCTTCACTTAAGATTGCTTTGTGGCAAGTGTGGTTGAAATTGGCCCAGTGGTTATGGAGAAGAAGTCGAAAATGTGAAAAGTTCACAGACAGACGGACAGACAGATGGATAAAGAGCAAGACAGACAATGGACAAAATGTGATCTGAAAAGCTCACTGGAGCTTACAGCTCAGATGAGCTAAAAATGGATGCCTTGATTGGTATATTGATGATTGGCTGTAAATTATGTGAATATTAAATTTCTGAATTATAAATAAATTGTAAACTTTCTATGATGTTTAAAATTCTACCTATATGCGGTCATCTTTATTAATCTATACAACTTTTTGTCAATTTAAATCATAATATTGTGAAACGTTGAATAAAATTTAAAAATCTATGCAGTAAAACTTAATTCATTTCACTTATATAAACTTAAATTATTTTAAGGATTTTTGATAAAAGTTTGTTTGTATCATCTGTCCTTAAGCGTCACATTTCAAAAAATATGCAAACAGACCACGTCAAAAATTTTCTTAGCTTTTCTTATCTGCCAATTTTTAATACCACCTCTCATTCCCAACTTGTCTGTGCATATGGGTTATATTATGAGCACACTTGGTTAGTGTAGTAGAGATTTCTTTCATGTTTTATATTATGGATATTCAGGGCCCTGTTTATATTCATTACTGTTTATTACATCACCTGCAGTTTATGATGTCCAATTTTGTTATTTATTTAATGTGTACATGTATTAACAATGAATGATCAACATTTCTTTTGCTTAAAATAATCTATGTGTTTAACCAAGCATGCTCTCAATCTTGCTCCTATTTTGAGAATTTGATATTACCGTGATTAATAAAATTCAGGACAGTTGGCAGATCAATGCACAGATATTATATTCCACTCAAATGCCTGGTTTGAAGAAGATTGATGATGATGAAGGTACAAGCAAATGTTTTTGCTTATTGTAAGATTTATCTAAAAGAATTATAATTTGAAGAGATACATTAATAGTTCCATGTTAAAGCACTTCTTGTCTTGTAGAAGAAAATTTGGTGTTTATACCTGTAACTGCATCTCCTCCTTTTTTGCTTGCATCAAGTTCAGTTTTGTAAAATCCATCAGGCCTGCAATTAAAATGTTATATATAATTAATATTTCTAATAGCTCACAATATTTTAAATCATTTGAGATCTGCCCCTTTGAATTTTGCCTTATTGGTATTTCAAGTATCAAATTTTTGTGAAACCTTGGGATGACAAATATTCTTTTTGCTCACTTTGTTCTTCAATGATCTGCGCAGCTTCCCGGGCAGAACCCACCACTTTTCCAGTGCAACTTGAGACCACTTTTGAGGCCTCTGACAGCTCTGATAGTTTTTTGCTCTTCCGGTCAGCTTTGACCTTTGATGCCACCACCAGCTGAGCTGTACTGGCTGCAATCTCATTGGAGCAGACAATGAGCTCCTCAAACTTTCCTTCTCCTTTCACAACTTTATCTGCAGCTTCTCTGAAACATAAGGAGAGAAACATATTGTTTGTTCCAGATTAACTGAAAATTTATTTAATCTCTTAATCAATGTACTAGGATTCTAATTCTTTAAACAGTATTATAACACATGTATTTTTATGTTTTTAAGAAGTTATCATGGTTTAAAAATGAACATGTTTTCAAGGAAAAAATTCAAATTTCAAAAGAAAAGTTTCTTCTTCCTAGTATAGAAAATACTTGCTCTTCTTAAATAGCAAACAATTTAACATAAACTTTTGAATACAGTATTTTATTAAATACACACTTTTTTCCTAGAATACTTTTTGTACGAAAGGGGTGTGTATTGTACATAACGATGGATTTTGACAGGTGAAGTATGGATATATCAAAGTATTATCTAGAGACATAGCCAATTTCTTGTTGTTTACTACTACAGTCAAACCTCATTATCTCGAACCCAATGGGACCTGAGAAAAAAATTCAAGATATCCGAGGATTCAACATATCCGGGGTAAAATACTTAAAGAATAAGGGATTGGGACTTCCAAATCACTTCAACATATCCATGGTATTCGAGATATCAGTGTTCAAGATACTGAAGTTCATCTATAAATTTAAACATTGGGAAATTATTGATGGAACTTAAAATTGTTGAAAATGTTATTCTTATAATCTGTTGAAAGTTAAATTATATTAAAATAGGCAGATAAAATCAACTTGAGCTGTATATTCATCATCTCCATGTATGCTACCATTAAAAATGTTATTAATAGGGGTCAACTTCATCTGCCACATATCAGCGTATGCCAAATTGTGCCAGTCATATGGTTAAGTGGCAAATGAAGTAAACTGGCAAAAACAAAAAAAATAACTAGTTCTAATTGTAATAATGAAGACTGTTACAGATGTTCCCTGAACACTCCCCAACTCCCCTTTTAGTGCCCCATATCCTGTAAGCTTAATCAAATTACTTGGCAAAATCTCTATATTATAGACTTTATACACAACTTTTCTCCTGAAGTATGTATTTCAGGGGTTTAATAATACACATATAAGAAAATGAGCATAAGCTAATCAGATTTCAGTGCATGTGCATGCATGTGACTTCAATAATTTCCATATTCATCATCTCATGGTTTCATATAATACAGGGCTACATATAAGATTTCAAAGACCTTCACAGAAAATGTAGAGAGATACAGCAACCTGAATATTAATCAATTAGAATCCAGCACATGTGCATGTATATTCTTGTATTTATTTCTGATAATACCATAAGTAGAAACTTATTTTATTAACACACATTGAACTCAATTTTTTTTTGTTCAAATGAAGAAAGTTATAACCACTTACAATCTTATTCAATCAGATTTCTGCATTAACTTTCTAGATTTCTCACATTATATTCTTATAGTGCCTAAGAATACAGTGAAACCTGTCTTATCCGACCTGCTGCAGGAAATAAAATCAATGTCGGATTAGACAGTGTGATGGATTACCCATATGTATTGAATATTTCTGAGCATTATGATTAGTGTCAGATGACTTAATACAAAAAAAAAATTCATTAGGTTTAGAGTACATGCGTATTTAATTGTCAAAGTGCATAATTAGGGCTTTTCGCTTTCAGGCGAAAAGCCCTATTGTTTTCGTCTTGTTTTATTAGTATTATTATTATTATTCTGACACTTTTTATGTCAAGGATTTAAAGAAATCTTTAAGAGATATATTTATTATTTGATAACCAACTAATAGACCATCTAAATGTCTTTGGAATGTAAGGTTTTGGACTTTCGGTTACGTCACTTCCGGTCTTTGGAAGTCAAAACCTTTCTTTTCAATTGGAGCAATATCTTTGTTAATTCACAGATAATTTCTTTAAAATTTAAGGAATAGATTCACGATACTATTTCCTACAAAAATGTTAGCGACAGTGATTTTTGACCACAGATACTTTTCAAGCTATAAGACTCCAAACATTGAAGAAGGGGGGATGAAAATTTCAAAAGTGATGAATAATGGTCGAAAAGATATACTGAGCATTGCAGATTGTTAAGCATGATAAATACAAGTTACACTGTAAGTTTCATGTCAATCAAATCAGTACTTCCGGTTTTATGAGTCTTTGAAATTGTCTACGGGAGTTTCTATGTTAAATTCGAAATCACGCATTTCACGTTTTCTGCAAAAGTAAACAAGATATTCTTGTGAAATTCAGAATATAGAATGACTGGGACATTCTTCCGACCTGATTAAGTTTTGAAATTGGAATTCGGGGACATAAGGGATTTCAAGGGGCCAAACCTGACCAGAAGTCTCTGATGAGACTGTAGCTCTACTGGTCTGTTTGTATAACAAAAGAAAAGTAGCACTTGGATTTGAAACATTGCAACATGCAACAATAAATAGAATTATGTATCTTAATGTAGTCTACTTTTGTGACAAGTTATATTGAAATCAAATGAAAACTAGGAGTAGTAGCGTTTTGAAAGTATTTCACGGAAATTTCTATTTTTAGTACCGGTAACCATGACAACACCACTCACCCAAATAAAAAAAAACAGAAATACATATTATGTATCGTAGTGTATTCTAACTGTGTGCCAAATTAGATTGAAATCAGACCAAAATTGTAGGAGGAGTAGCATTTTAAAGGAATTTCACAGAAATTTCTATTTTAAGTAACCATGGCAACACTGTTCATCGAATTCAAAAACCAATGCAATAAATTATGTATCTTAGTATAGTCTTCTTGTATGCCTAATTATATTAGAAGCAGACTAAAACTGTAGCAGGAGTAGTGTTTTAAAGGAATTTCATAGAAATTTCTATTTTTAGTAACCATGGCAACACTGTCCATCGAAATCAAACACCGATGCACTAAATTATGTATCTTAGTGTAGTCTACTTGTGTGCCAAGTTATATTGAAATCGGACCAAAACTGTAGGAGGAGTAGCGTTTAAAAGGAATTTCACAGAAATTTCTATTTTTAGTAACCATGGCAACACCGTCCATCGAAATCAAAAACCGATGCACTAAATTATGTATCTTAGTGTAGTCTACTTGTGTGCCAAGTTATATTGAAATCGGACCAAAACTGCAGGAGGAGTAGCGTTTTAAAGGAATTTCACAGAAATTTCTATTTTTAGTAACCATGGCAACACCGTCCATCGAAATCAAAAACCGATGCACTAAATTATGTATCTTAGTGTAGTCTACTTGTGTGCCAAGTTATATTGAAATCGGACCAAAACTGTAGGAGGAGTAGCGTTTTAAAGGAATTTCACAGAAATTTCTATTTTTAGTAACCATGGCAACACCGTCCATCGAAATCAAAAACCGATGCACTAAATTATGTATCTTAGTGTAGTCTACTTGTGTGCCAAGTTATATTGTAATCGGACCAAAACTGTAGGAGGAGTAGCGTTTTGAAAAATTGTTTACAGACAGACGGACAGACAGACAGACAGACAGACGGACGGACGACGGACACCTTACTATCGCATAAGCTCTTCTGGTCTCTGACCAGTAGAGCTAAAAAAGGACTTTTCCCTGTAACTTTTTTATTTCTTAACTAATTTTTAAACCGTTTTCGGTTTTGGCTTCAGCATTAAGAGTACAACGTAAAAATTATGGTCCATGGGTCACTTATAGGAGTTTCTGAGGACTGAAAAAACGTAATTTGTATTTGTTAAAATAAATATAAAGTAAGAGTTATCTCTCTTTGCATGGTTGTTAGTACGCTTATTTACTGTACAGGTTTCAATTTTGGTGCACATACAAAAAGTACTTCCGGTTTTATTAGTCTTTGAAAATTGTCTATGGGAGTTTCTATGTTAAATTTGAAATCAGGCATTTCACGTTTTCTGCAAAAGTAAACAAGATATTCTTGTGAAATTCAGAATATAGAATGACTGTGACTTGTTCCGACCTGATTAAGTTTTGAAATTGAAATTCGGGAAAATAAGGGATTTCAAGGGGCCAAACCTGAAAAAAGACTTTTCCCTGTTACTTTTTCATTTCTTAACCAAATTTGAAACCGTTTTCGGTTTTGAGTTTAGTATTAAGGGTACTATGTAAAACGTATGGTCCGTGGGGTCACTTTTTGACCCCCTATAGGAGTTTAAGTGGATTGAAGTACAGTACTTTTTGTTAATTTTTAAATAGCCATGACAGAGTTATGTCTCTTTGAGTAGCCCTTGATGGACATTTATACTTGTTATGATTCCAGTTCAGTAGGGATCTCAAAGTACCTTTTGGTATATGAACCCTATACATTTTTTATAATGAAAGATTGATTTCTCTTAAAGCTCCCAAGTTTTTTAGGGGTCGAAAAGCCCTCCGTTTTTGTTGAACGACAAAAAAGATCTCGTTATTATTATTATACTTAACACTTTTTTCGTTCAGCGTTTAAGGAGTACGTTTGGAAATAGGTATTTTGTTTTATAATCACTGAAAAGCTTACGTAAATGTCTCCCGTATGTAATGTTTTGAACTGCCGGTTTACTCACTTCCGGTTTCTACTTAAGAAAAACTGGAATTTCTAAAGGAGCTAAAATCTTTCTCATTTTCAATGACTAGACTCTCAAATTTAAGATATAAATTCTGGAGACCAATACCTACAAAAAAGTTAACTACGGTGATTTTTGACCACTGATACTTTCTGATTTATAAGACTTCAAACATTGGAAAGGGGGGGGGGGGGGGTGAAATTTTTAAAAGTCACAATTAAGGTATGAAAATGATTTTTATCATTGAAGTATGTTGATACTAACAAGTAAAACATATACTGTAAGTTTCATATCAATCCAAGAGGAACTTCCGGTTTTAGGGGCCTTTGAAAGTTGTCTATGGGAGTTTCTATGTTAAAATAAAATCAGTCGTATCACATTTTCTCTAAAAGTACCGAAGATATTCTGGTGAAATTCAAAGTTTACTATGACTCTGACATGGTTCCGACCTGATTAGATTCTGAACACAAAATTATGAAAAATAAGGGATTTCAAGGGGCCAGTGT